CAGACCCAAGGCATATACTAACAATCAGCAGGCCATTGACACCATCACGGACGTCAAGTTTAACCAGGTCGAAACCTCGATACTCGCATCATGTGCGACCGACCGCGCTGTCATCCTCTACGACGCCCGCACGAACTCACCCCTACACCGCACTGTGCTCAACTTCCCCGCCAACTGCATCTCCTGGAATCCCATGGAAGCCTACAACTTCGCCGTTGCTTCGGAAGACCACAATGGATACATATTCGATATGCGCAACATGAAGCGTGCGCTGCAAGTTTTGGTAAGTCTCCCATGTGAAGGTCAGGCCAGACTCATTACTAACACCAAATAGAAAGGACATGTTGCCGCAGTCATGTCGATTGAGTTCTCTCCGACCGGAGAAGAGCTCATCACCGGTTCCTACGACCGATCCATAAGAATCTGGGAGCGATCAAAGGGCCACGCTCGGGACGTCTACCACACCAAACGGATGCAGCGCGTCTTCTCCGTCGCATGGAGCCCCGACAACAACTACGTACTCAGCGGATCAGATGACGGCAATGTCCGCCTATGGAGAGCCAGAGCATCCGAGAGGCAGGGCGTCAAGTCATTCGCCCTAAAACAGAAGCTGGAGTATGACGCAGCGCTCAAGGAGCGATACAAGCATATGCCAGAGATCAAGCGCATCGAGAAACACAGGCATCTGCCCAAGACTGTCAAGAAGGCCGGAGAGATCAAAAACGAGGAGCTCAAGGCTGTCAAGAGGAAGGAAGAAAATGAGAGGAGGCACACGAAGAAGGGCACAGTCCGGAGGAAGGCAGAGCGTGAGAAGATGATCTTGGCGAGAGAGCAATGATAAGTCAAAAGAAGGGTTCAGTACATTTTCTGCATAGCGTTGGCGTTCTTGGTATTAGGGTAGAGGACCTGCGGTACTATACGTTGCATCCGAGGGTGTTGATCGTAGTTCAAAAGATATGGGATATTTGACTCCATCATCCTGCCTTTCCAGCAACAAGTGCTTGCATTGAAACCAACCTTGGAATGCTTTTCAAACGTTCATACACGTGACTTCGCGTGATTGCGTCATACCTCGGTCTAATAGCTACCCCAATGTAATCCACAGGACGAAAGGGCGCGAAAAGTGACATTTGACCGAGATCAAACAGCATACTTCACTATCCGGCTTGGAACCTTCAGACCCCTCTGAGTTGCGCCTTTTTACTCCCAATCAGCAATATACCAATCTGAGCCACCCGGATCGCAAACATGGCATCTAGATCCGCGCTCCACATCCAAGACACCAAGTTCAACGATCTCGGTCTCTCAAAGTCCACTTTGAACAAGGAGAAAGTCTGCTGCTACACGCGCTCGCTAGAGAACGCCAGCGATGACAACCCCATACTCGTTCTCATTCATGGTTATCCACAATCGGCTTACATGTAACTTCCTCTCATCCCTATCACTGCACTTCATACATCAGATGATCTGACAAAAGGCTAGGTGGCGCCACATAATCCCTCTTCTCCCATCCAAGGCACCGCTCTTCGTTCCGGATCTACCTGGCTACGGCGCTAGTGCACCGAATGCGAAGAACGATAAAGTGAGCATTGGGACGGCAGTACTCGAGGCGCTGAAGACGGAGGTTGAGAAGAGTAAGATTGGAGATGGGGATGTAAAGGTTGTGCTTATTGGGCATGATCGTGGAGCGAGAGTTGCTCATCACGTTACTGTGAGCGGGGTGGATGGAGTGAAGATCTTGGGTGTTTGTTTGATCGATATCGTAAGTTTATCTCTGACATATGCTCGAACGGATTTATGCTAATTTGATAGGTCCCAACCTCCACACAATGGCAGCACTTCACCTCCCCAGCCACCGCAGCAAAGGAGATAACAGGCTACTTTCACTGGCCGCTCCTCGCAAACGTCGATCTAGCAACGCGTATGATCACTGCTTTCGGCCCATCCAAATGGTGTCAAGAGATGATCCTACGTTGGTCAGGAAAGAGCAATGCCGGTATCGAGAAACTGAAGGCTAATGACTCCTTAACCGTCTATGGCGATTTCTTCAATCAGGAACATACGCTGAAAGCTACTTGTGAAGACTACAAGGAAGGTGCTACGACGGATGTTGAAAGAGAGGAGAAGAACCAGAAGGAGGGCAAGAAGATTGAGGTGCCGTTGTTATTGGTATACAGTGCTGCGAGCATTGGGAGTAGGTTTAACTTTCCGGATGTGTGGAGAGAGTGGGTCGGTGAGGGAGTCAAGATTGAGAATCATGGGTTGGGGGATGGGGTTGGACATTTTGGGGCGGAGGAGGCGCCTGAGGAGTGTGCAACGGCCATAGTGGATTGGACGAAGACATTTGTCGGACGGTGAATGTAGTACTGGAACATTATACAGCGAGACATTCAGGGAGATAATCTTAATCTGGCGTACGGAATGATATTGGCCAAGCGCTTATCCGGCGCTCTCGTGGATGAGGCCACAAGTCGTAGCTACCTATCCTTGCCAATCTTGAACGGAATACAACGCTCACCAAGATGGCAAAACTTCCCTTGCTAGGATACCAAAGTTTGGCGCCTACCGGCAGGCGTGATTCCGTAACTAATGTCGCGTAACACAATGTCGCGTTACCGACGACTCTGAGGTATTGACGTGTCGTAGGTTAGGACGTAGTTCGCGTCGAGAGGGGGACCTCGGGACCATCCGCGCGCCGCCTTGGCGGCTGCTTCGCGTCTGCCAACCCCTCCCGACGCGATTCGCTGGCGCCCACCTGGCATCGCCCTCGACTATACGGCAAGGGCAGACAGCCACACTAACTGCATCAAACAGGTGCAAATCGATGCTTGCCTAGGAATGACACAACTCTCCATTCCCGGGAGGCATCTCCGCAGCTGCGGCGTTCTGCGGCGTCGCTCTGCATCATGCAGTCCTGATCATCGAATAAGCAATGCAGTGCGATAGCGACACGTTCGCGCGATTGGCGACAATCCGGAGCTGACTTACTGACCTGCGCAGTGCAGAAGAGGTAGCATGCTGCCTGCATTCTGAGGCACAAGCTTACGCAGAGCGACAAGCAACTCTAGTGCACAGTACCTTCCATGACCTCCTCATCCGCATCCGACCCTCCCACTCTAGCATTGGCAGAATCGATCGGTCATCATGCTTCTTCCTACCGCTGCAGTTTGGCTGTTCTACATCGCTCGTCGCTCATATGCGTCAGGATCGTGCAACCTGCAGATCGCAGCGTCCGCGTTGAGCCCGCAACTATCCAAGGACGCCATCATCACGTTTCCATGGGATGCTCGTTGGGTTGATCTTCAAGTTCGTGGGTCCTCACCACGAATAGCTCCCGACTATAATGTGGTAGTTGAGGTCGCGACTGAGTCCGACGTGCAGACAACGGTCACGTTGGCCAATCGTTTCGACATTCCATTCCTAGCCGTTACCGGGGGTCATGGATGGACTACGACGCTTAACAGGCTACAGTATGGTATTCAGATCAACATGCGCAAGCTCAATACTACGACACTCGGTCAGAACGGCAAGACTGCTACTGTCGAAGGTGGAACGATGCAACACGAGATTACCCGCTCCCTGTTCGCCTCGGGCAAGTATGCTGGTGAGTTTTGACTCGTACCTTCATACACATAGTTACTTACCGTTATTGTCACCAGTTACCGGACTTGGAGAATGCGTGTCAGTAGCAGGCCCACTGCTGGGGGGCGGCCACAGTCTCCTCCAGAATCAATACGGCTATTCTCTTGACGGTCTCGTTTCCGCGCGCATCGTCGTAGCTAGCGGCAAGGTTGTAGAAGCCTCCCGGACGAAGAGTGCCGATCTATTTTGGGCTCTACAAGGTGCAGGCCATCAATTTGGCATTGTGACAAGTCTTGAAGTAAAGACTTACGATATTCCTTCCAACTGGACCGTCTACTCGATCATCTTCGCGGCTGACAAGGTCGAGGAGCTTCTCAGCCTGATCAACGAATTCGAAGAGCCGAGTGCGGAACGCTCTGCGAAGCTAGCGCTCACAGGGCTGTTCGTGAGAATACCTGCTGCTGATCCCGTCAATGTAAGCGCAGCCTCGCAATACACCTGCCAGATACTGACTCTTCACTAGCCTGTCGTGGCATACACTGTCGCCTACGAGGGCACGGAAGCGGAAGCTGAACCCTATGCTGCTCGTTTTAAAGCGCTCGGCCCAATCTCTATCACAGTCTCCACGGACGTCAACTACGTAGAGCTATACACGGTGACTGGAAACAACCTCGGAGGTCAACCTTGCAGGCGAAACCAGAACATTGCAGGAGCCGGTGTCTCTCTACCTACCTGGGATCTTGAGAGTGTTCGCAAAGCCTTCACGTTATTTGGTAACATCACAGCAGATCCACGCTTCAACACATCGATCACTCTGATGGAGAATTACGGCATGCAAGGCGTACGGGCTATCGACATATCTTCCACTGCGTTGGCACCCGAGGAACGCGAGTATCCTATTCTTGCATCACCAGTTCTGTGGTGGGTTGGCGACGATGCGCAGACCACTAAAGATGCGTACGCACACACGCGCGCAATGCGCGATGCGCTATATACTGGCCTCGACAGCACTAATCAGAAGCGACACTGCTATGTTAATTACGCTAACGGAGAAGAGGATAGGCCTGAGATGTATGGGTACGACGCTAGGCTCGCTAAGTTGGTCAAGTTGAAGGGTGAGTGGGACCCGAAGAACAGGTTTGGGTATTACAACCCAATAGTGTAGGCAGGAATGCATTCACAGTAGCAGAAGACGAAGTATTTTGAGGACGACTTTATTACTAAACTAAACGCAAGTGCGGCTAATGATGGTGCCGGGAGTAACTCGCGTCGAAAACCAGCGCAAACCGAAACGCCAAACCTCAGCCGGGAGCAACTCGCGTCACAACCCAGCGCCGAACCCAAACGCCAAACCTTAGCCAGGAGCAGACATCGCATCTCTCCGCTGCCAAAACAAACACAAAAGTCCGGCGAAGCGACTACAGCCACTTCCAAACGGCCTCGTCATCCCCACTCGCGACGCTGCCCTCTGGATCCCAGTCGAAATCCTTTGCCTTAGGCGGCCACAGCCCCTGACACTCCAGATGCTTTGCGATAGCATCCTCCGTCAGCTGCGCCCCTGACTTCTCCTCCACCTCTTCCTCGACCCCTGACACCTCCCCCTCCTCAGCGGGCAGCGCGAAGGTTCTCGCAGCGTCGTGAAGCTGCTTTACGGACATCTTACAGGCATTGTCGACCTCTACGCGCGCTAGCCCCTTGCTGGCGGAAACTTTGGCCTCAGGCCCAAACTCCAAAAAAGTGTGTTTGGTTATCTTCCAGACGGTGACCTCTTTTTCAGAGGCGTTCTGGTCTATTTCTTCAACGGTATGCTTGCTAGCAGTGACCGTGAGCTGTGTGTGTAGTGATTGTCGGGTTTTTCGCTCACCCGAAACGGTTTCGGCATTGTTGAACAATCCCGCTTCGACGCAGGATTGGCCGACGCCAAGGTATTCTGCCTCCTCTGCCATGTACAGCCTGGCCAGGCGCTCAGGCTGGGTGCAGGCGATGTGGAGGCGTTGTGTGGCTGGTAGTGCGTCGCCAAGTACACCCCAGATGTCTGTCCATGTGATGTTGAGGGTGGCGGACTTTGATGGTTTGATGACGATCTCGAGGATCGTGTTCTCGGGATCTATGGCCAGATCTTCCCAGTCCTCTGGGCCCCAGATGGGGAATTTTTGGTGAGAGGAGGACGACGCTGTGGCCTGCGCCTCCTTTGATGTAGTGAAGAGGGCGGCTGGTGACGAAATGCTTGTGACCATGTACTCGTCTTCGTCGAATTCGACGGTTGCTGTTGTGGCCATGCTCGCTTGCCAGACGGCGTCGCGGAGCTCTTTGGGTAGTGTTGGGAAGAGCGTAAAGGTAGACATGGCGATGGTATTGGTAGTGATGTAGTAATGGTTTTGTCTGGCGTACTGGTATGCGTACTGGTTTTGTCTGAAGCGAGTTCGGACGGATATGGTAAGATGGGATGAGAGAACAGTTCTGATGAGAGAGAGAGGGGAATGGGCTGCCTTTTATTCAGACTCAAAGCGCACTAACTGCAGTACCGCACTACTCGACCGCGAAAAGTCATAAGGTCGACTATGTCTTTGCTCCACTCAAAGAGTCCAACCAGCACACTATCACGTCACTTGAGTCATCGAGCTATCCGATAACACGACGTACCGAATATATTCAGCGCATCGACCACCAACCGAGACCCGATACTACAGCTCGGAGGTACTCGCCGCGCCATTAGGTGGTCATGGATACATGATTATATCGCAAAAGCCTTCGACTAAGAACCGACACCCAAACTCATTGCCGGAGGTACTCGCCGCATCATATAGAGTTATACCGCGCAAGCTCTCGGCCAACAATCAAGACCCGATTTTGCAGCCCGGAGGTACGCGCCGCACCATATGGTGTCTCTGGATATATGGTTATCTCGCGAAGACCTTCGACCAAAAGATTGAGACCCGGTGTTCCAGCGCGGAGGTACGCGCCGCACCACATGTTGTTCCTGGATATGTGATTATATCGGTCAGACCTTCATGCAACCACTCTAGACCCACAACACTAGATAAGAGATTCCTGCGATCTGGCACCGGTGCAAGAGTTTTCGAGTCATATGATGGCTCCCATACTTACTCTGCGACCACTCGCGATGGCTTGTAATCTCAGCATATGCAACGCCCGCTCAGAAACTCCCGGACTTTACCCAGCCCTGGAGCTGCCCAAAGCTCACCCGATTACGCATAGTTTACCCGAAGCTATGACAATTGTGCGCTGCTGTGCTCAGTCGTCTTGGGGCTAGTGGCTTTTCTAAAAGACATGTCCGCATCACGCTTGTTGAAGTTTCTCAAGACGAATGTGCAATACATTATCCGCTTTTACATTCCTAAAGCCGTAAGATATTTTCTATCACTATTTGCTAGTTTATATTGCTATTTTGGAATGCAGTGTCTGCTCAAGTATCGTTCTCTGACACTCGCCAGTCCAGATTGAGCGCACAGTTGTCTGCTGACTAACTCGTCCCTGCTCTCACATACTCTCTTCACAAACCCAGATCTTCCCATCCCTTCTTCCATGCAGTTCTATTCTGCACCTTCTCCACCCGCAACCCACTCCCCCGTGCCCGTTCGGCAATTGAGTTTTCAACGCCGATGACTTTCCGCCGCTCTTCTTCGCCACTTTCGCTGGCGTCGTCATTGCTCCCATCTGGATGTCCGGGCTGGCCAATGTACTCATCCACCCCAAGTTTGATAAGCTTGAGTTTCGGCAACTCTGTTTGGCGATCCAGGAAATGCATGAGGTAAGGCTCGGACTCATACGTCGCATCCAGGATGCTGATGCTCTCGATCGTGGTAGGTAGATGACAAGTTCGGAATTCATATCTGGCAGAGAAGAAAGCGTCTTGTGGGGCATTGAGATTGCGAAGTCTAGGTAATCCGGCAAATGTGGTCATCGGAGTCGTGTCGTTGATGTACTCTACCATCATAACATGTTTGAAAAGGTCATTGATTGCGGGCTCAACGTCCACAGTTAGATCTGTCAAACTGCAGCTCTTCAGATGCGAGACAATATGCGCGAAAGATCCTCGTCCAATGTGGTAGAGTTGGAATTCGTCATATGGGTCGACAACAGCGCGGTACAGAATGAAGAGGTGGGTCAAGTTTGGAAGACCGCTAACAACGCTTCTGAATTGGCCGTACACACCCTCCATGTGAGTGGCTTCATAGCAGTAGAGCGCTTTGAACTCCGGTTGGACGACCAGACGGGTCAAAGTCGTAGACACTGTTGCACTAGGTGCGATATTTGATATCATCGTATTAGCAGAGACCACCAGAGGGTCTTCGAAGAGGTCGAATCGAGCGGCTCCAAGCCGGGGTAAACTCAGCCAGCTTGATGGTGCGCGTCCATTTGTTGACAACCGCACCAGGCTAGAGAGACCCTGAAAACAATCTGCCAATTTCATATGCCTGGATATAAGCTTGAAAAGCTTTTCGACTTCGTCCCAAGCAGCGTTGTTCTTGGGATGTTCGAAAACCATGGGTGAATCCAAGGTCGTCAGCGAAAACGTGTCGAGGGCAGGCGTTATGCACAAGATTAGCCCGATGAGAGCCGTGTCTACGCCTCTCATCAGCATGTCTTCCCAGCCCTCGTTGTGAAGCGAAACACCGTTCCTTGAATTGACAGTGCTCGTAAAACCCTGGAATAGGGTCACAAGCTCCGGAATACCGCAACTACAGTCGTCTCCGCCCTCTTCATAGTAGCATCCCCAAGATACGCAGCTCCAGTGATGCCTGAGTGGCATGCCGGATAACTCGATGTTTAGTTTCAGCACCCTCTTCGCAAGATCGGGTCGCTGCAAGAGAGTACGCGCGAGACGCGCGAGACTTTGTCCCTGGTGTGGACATGTGGAGATTTCTGTGTAGAAGACTTCTTGTGCAATAGGTCGTAACTTCCGGCAACTTAACGCGAGGTGATTGAGATCGCTGTATCCGTTGCTGGTGTCGTCTCGCAGGCAATTGGCGACTGCGAGCAATAGCTCGTCCGGGATACCGCATAAATCAGTCATGTCGATGGGCGCGCATGTTCGAGGCGCTTGAGCCTGATTTCGGGTGAGATGAAAGAGCGGAAGCCTGGTGCGGCGCTGAAGAGCAGGAAGTCGCGAACAAGCCTAGTCTCGACTGGGTAAGCTGCGAACGCGCTATCATATGACTGCTCCGTCACACCTGGACAGGCCTCTACAGATGTCGCTACACGACAAGGCTCGAGTATACTGTACTTATTGATTGTCGCAGGATTGTCTGTTGATCGCGCTTGGCCCTGTGTCAAAGCCTGTGCAGCCCCAGAATGGGTCACTGCCAGATAATCTCTCTTCCCTACAACCGATATTACCAGCTTTCGAATGTAGTCATTCTCAGGGCTTCGATATAGCAGCGACTTCGTTGCCAAATGCTGGTTCATGTTAGTCGCATTTGATTGTGCAGCTGCTTCGTGTGATTTCCCCTCCTTGGTCATACATGCACTTGCCTTCGATAACCGTTGTGTCAGCTCCACTCACCACGTTCGCGCATGACGCATCGTTCTATCACAGTCGAAGTTACTATACATCTACTGACCCAGCTGGTACTGTGTTAAGGCTTGGGCTACTGCTGTCGTTCCTTCACCATAGCATCTCTTGTCAGTATTGAAGAGGCCAATTGACCACCCGGTCCACGGGTGGGTCTGTGACGGCTAACGTGTGTGTCCATTGGACAGTGCGTGCCTTGGCAAGGCCGCTAACCTGATCAACCGCGGGCGCCACCAGACAAGCAGCCATCAGCCTAGGCCCGATACTGCAACCTCCAAGCTGCCGTACATAACCTCATAACGTCTTCCCGACAGCTTTCGCGATCATCTACCATTTCTCTCAAGCTACGAAACTCGCGCTGTTCCAATGGCGTCTGATCCTATTCCTCCACTCTCCAGCTTTCAGCCACAAAGCCCGCTGTTCTATGTCATACCGGGCGAGATCCGTAACGAGATCTTCCAATTGGCGCTCATGCAGAATGAAGACAGCGCAGCAGCATATCCGGAAGACTCGTACTGGTACCGACCAGGTTTCTCAGGTCCGCTCAAGGGCAGCAGTGCACTTTTGCGCACGTGCAAGCTCGCGTACGCGGAGGGTCAGAAAGTGTTCCTCAGAGAGCTGGAATGGGCTTTTTGGTTTAGTATGTTTGGGCGAAGCCTGTGACGTTACGCTAAACTGATCTCGACGTAGATCGTGGACCTGATGGCCGTACATGCACTCCAGCGTGCGAAAGATTCTTCAGCGACCTAACTCCACAAGCCGTGCAGTCACTCCAGAAAGTTCGTCTTTTCACGCAGATGTTCTGGCTCGAAGAAGGAAATCAACTATTCTACATCCTAAGCATACCTCAATTCCGACCAACCCAGCTTACTATTACCATACGATACTCCGATTGGTGGTTCTGGGAAAGCAATGCGCCACTGAGTATGGAAGAAAAGTGGCTACGCTACTTCGAAGGAAACCCCGGCTTGCGCGTACTGAGGGTTGAGTACGAGACGCTCAGTTGGAAGAAAGCGGAGATGATGCGCATCATCGAGCGAAACAAGAAATGGAAACTACCTGTACGAAGAGAAGGCGGCAACTTCCAGAAGAATGAGCTCGAGGGATATCTGAGCGCTGAGAACACTGGACTGGAGGAATGGACTTGGAAGGGCCCAAGCAAGCTGGGTGGACGAAATTGGATTCACCATGGCACCGAAGATAAGGTCGAATACGTCGTCGTCACAGATACCTGGAAGTTTGTGGAAGGCGAACTCACCGAGAAAGAGATGGAGGGCCGATTGACCACTATGGTGAGAGCACCTGAGATGACGCGGGCCGAGGTGGAAAGACGCCGCAATATAGGCGCATGGCGTGGGAGACTTCGGGAAAGGAAGATCACACAGTATGCAGCTTAGTAGGAATATGCTTTCTAGCTGGGGGGATTGCGGGGGGTTTTTGGGCTACTAGGACTTCGCACACGGACATGTCTCTCGTGAATGTCGGTTATTACGATTAGTCCCAACATGTCATCATATCAACATGCCTACCTTGAAGTTTTCTTCTATCTCTATTTGACCTTGCCCATTTCAAGAATACTCTCAACATGATATACATAGTGCTTTTACCCGTATGCGAGTAGACATAGATCAATGCGCGTACCGCATAAGGCTCGGGAATACCTGAAAGAAATGCAGGAAGACAACTAGGCGCTTCCAAGAATGTCCGCAATGCGAGCGTTATCCGTTCTCCCGTAGGCGCCGTATGCAGACAAGGCCCCGGTCAACCTGCAGGTATACGTGTGCTACGCTCCCATTGGACCAACGCGCACTTCTCGTAACGTCTGAGGAACGCTGTCGAAACCGGTAGAAAGTCATTGAATCTCATACATATCATCTTGCATTGACTGCTCGCCATTTTGGAATCTGCTCGCAAAGGTAGGTAGCGATCTGCATGAGTTTTGGTCAACACTTTGTCGCTGCCGCCATGTCTCCGTCGCGCTTGCAACCAAGGGCTGATGTACTGGCCCATCAACCCACCTCGATCGAAACGACTTCGACGCCTACGAGACCGCGGAAGATGATAGAGAGGGAGTCGCGAATCACGAAACTTGAATCCGCTGTCTTATATCCCCGCCTAGTTCTTTTGGAGGCTCTTACTGGCTTTAAAGACAAACCAAAGCAACGAGCAAAATCCGGTGATACGAGGGGTGAGGCTCGAAGAGATTTCTTAGATTCCTTCGCTTATCTTTGTGACGTGGAGAAAGGCGGCAAAACGGTCACGGCTACTGGCTTGCAAAGACTGGAGACCGACAATCAACTCTGGGTGGCTGCCAACGAAGGTGTACGCGATGATATCTTTATCTATGCAAACACTATTCTGGAGCAAATCAAATCCGCAACCGCAGAGACTCAGAGCACCATTCAAGACCGCATTATGGCTCTTAGTGTCGCGAAGTGTAAGCCAAGAATACAGGTCTACAAAACAGCGGTGCAGGAACTTGCACGGAATTGCAGGATGGCTCTCCGAAGAGTCAAGAGAGACGACTTCGGTATGTGTGGTATAAAATTCGGTTGGGCGGATGCTTACTCAGGAAGTTAATCATCTACGGACGAGGCTGAAGAAGCTGTCTGAGCCATCACCAAATATGGGCTTGGGCAACTACGTTGATCTGTGCTATACTCAAAGAGCCGAGTGTATCGACGCTATCAGATTGCATTCCAGAAATATGGACGACGTCTTCAGCAAATTAGCTCATTTCGTCTACCGCATAGGTGCGACACGCGAAGCAGCAAACAAAGTCGTCGAAGCTATGATTCACGTTCCTTCTCCTCCGCAGATATCCAGGCTGCAGACCGTTCGTACGCCCGAAATTGTCAAGAAGACCATGTCGCCGGCCTGCATGAGCCCACATGAGGTCTTTTACGGTGTACTAGAAGAGACCAACCCAAATGACCCTTTGAAGTTTCAGCAAGCATTACTTCGACTATTCCACTTGGACTCATTACCAACAAGATCAATCTACAACGACGTGGCCTTGAGGGAAACCATAAAGACCATGATACACGCCGAACTCCAAATCGCAGACAAGTTCGCCAGGTCGCAGGCCATCAACTTCGTTGACGACGACAAGTATATCGGGTGCAGTAAGCCAGCGTGTTATTTCTGTTACGCTTGGCTCTGCCTGCACACGCAGGGTTACTCTGAGCCTGCAACCCACTGCAAGGTTATACCCGGCTGTCGCGGACCAGACTATGAGCTAAACGATGCGGGGAAGGATGTCATGATATCGATGTACAGTAAGATCAGCCGACAGGTGGGACAGGATATCTTTGCGTTCTTGGAGAAGGATATGCCGCCACCAAGGGTACCTTATATGTCTACGGATGCTGGAAGTCGGGCGCCGAGTCGAATGTCGGGTTTTTAAGAGTGAATACGAACCATAGCATATCCAAGATGGTAAATTCGTGGGTGATCTAGGCATTATAATGCACATCCCCTTGGCAATTATTACGACTGCGAAACTACGAGAAGTCTCCACACTCCTACCACACGTGACCAGTTGTCAGCGCTCGACAAACCTCAACTCCAACTTTTCTGGTTGTCTGACATGGAGTAGCAGTGGGTCGGCACACGAGTCCCGTAACATACTTACCACCTTCTGCCTCACCACCTCCACCTTCTCGCCCTTCCGACACACTACTTCAACCCTGACCTTTTTCAGAACGCTACTCAACACACTGCAAAACTCCACCTGACTAAACTTCATTCCTGGACAGATTCTCGGGCCGGCACCCCATGCGAAGAACCCACTGCCAGTCTTTGGGTGCTTGAGCTCTTCAGAAGAGAGTATCTCGGGTAGAGTTACCTTGCTACTGCCGGCGGATTGAGACTGAGTCCAGCGCTTCGGGTTCCAAGTAAGCGGGTCGGGAAAATTAGCGGCTGAGGTATGAGAAGCCCATGAATTGAGCATGATTTGGGTGTTAGTCGGAAGCGCGATATGCTCATTGGCTTTCTTGGACTCTAACATGGTCTGTGGGATAGTACGCTGGATATGTGCAGGGAAAGGCGAGCGCGGAAGAGGCGGTGAAGGACTGTAGAGACGTAGCGTTTCGTACTTCCAATTCTCTTAGCCTACGATTATGCTTCGCGCAATAGTAGATGGCCGGTATTTATGAAGGACGAGGACGTACCATGACAGCCATTACTCTCTTCAGTTGTGGGAACACCCTTGCATACTCCAATTCATCAGCTGCTTCGTCTTTCAAAACTTCATCCAGCTCCTCTATTACCCAATCTTGGACCTCAGGGTACACAGCCAGTAAAGCCAATGCATATGATAGCGCGATAGAGGTAGACTCCAGCCCACCAACCGTGAAGATGAAGATATTGCCTCTGATCTCAACATCCGAGAGTTTGGACTTCGAAACTCCGCTTCCAGACTTGGCTTCGTCGTTTGCCCTGATGAGCGTGCTGATGAGTGTAGCAGCTTTGGATTGCCCGCTGGCCACTTTTGATCGCTCTTTCACGACGGTTTCGTCCATGTACTGCCGGAACTCACGCATGGCGAGTAGCAGTCTCTTAGTACTAGTTGGAAGTAACGATTCCAGTATGGGCAGTTTGAAGAGTAGCATAATACCCTCTATGGCCGGAGATATTGAAGTACTCATCACCGTCACTAGTGCATCGCGAAGTGACAGTTGGTGACTTAGTGTTGGTTCATTGACTTCTGTATTCTCGAAAGCGACCGAAGAGATGACGTTGAGCGCCAGTGTACTGGTATCCTTGATCATGTTGTTCGTCGTTCGGCCGGGTGATGAGAGCCAACGCTCGGTTATGGTCTTTGACTGTTGCAGAGTTTCGTTCCATACCGTGGCTGAGGCTCGCTCGTTGAAGCATGGCGCTGTGAGTTTGCGATGGCGGATCCAATCATCGCCATTCGACTTCTTGCATTAGCTTTTACGGTCCTGAGTACGAAGAAGATGGGATGAACTGCGAGTTCTTAGAGCATATTGCACATACCGTGTCGACGTTTCGCCCAAACGTGCCCAATATCTCTACAGCCATAGTCAGTTTCCGCTTCCAGTGTCCTATCACACATCGTCGGACTCACCATTCACATTATCAGGCTTTACATAACCCCTCCAGTCCTTGAGCACATGTTCAATCGTTATTGGGTCACTCGTACATAGCACATCATGCCCTGGAGCCACCACGATGAAGCAAAGACCTAGTTCTTCATGTAACTTGTCGTTGTCTTGCCAGCAACATGTCCAGTCAATGGCCCTGAACCACCGGTATCCTTCCAGGTAAGTTCGGAATAGACTGGCTACCAGCTGCCACCGTAGAGTATATGGGGTGACAGGACTTATAATGATGCGCAAGCCAGACTTGCGTGCGGACACGTAATTGCGATAGATTCTGTAGAGCGGATAGGTGACAAAGTAGTGAACGAAGAGGCAGAGTATCGTTGCGACGATCATCTTAGCAGGATTTGGTCGATGATGTGAAACCCTGATTGACTACGGGCACCTTGGTGTGGCTAGAATCTAGAAGACATTTGATATCTGTGACCTGGGTGTCTGCGCACTGAGATTGCACATCACGCGGGGTCACACATGCATCGTGCTTATTGAGGCAGGCGCAACTTGATGTTCAGCGGATGAATGTCACAAAGTCGGCTTCATCCGACTATTAACTTTTCACTTATTCAAAGATACGAATTATCAGACAGAGATAATCGCATAGCAGTAGAGGCATGAGAACGCAATGCGCACGCGCAGCGCGCATGCAGGCGCACATAACACACGTGATGTCATCCTACTCTACATCACAACCTCCACGAGCAAGGTTGCAGCAGTCAATCCTGCCACATCTGAGACACGAGCAAGCCTGCGCATGCACGCCTCACCGAGGCACGTCTGCAATGCAGGGTCAGAGATACCGAACGTGTCAAAACATGCAGAGCCGACCCGCGACGCACGTCAATTACTCGACAGGAGGGATGCGCCCGTCTTGGGTTGAACATGGCATCGTGGACACTTGCAACATCGAATGTTTGATCTACAACATGTGTTCGCAGGAGATTGCGGATGGGTATTTTGCTGGTTTTACCGTAGTAGCAAACTTGTATGTTTCAGGCTTTAGCCTGGCTTGTTTCATGGATCTGGTAGGTATGTGTGATTCGGAGTGGGTTGGGGAGAAGCATTAGCCGGTCGCGTTGAATGATGATGTCGCGATGAGAGGCGCAACGGAGCCGAACGTGTCGGGGGATTGTCAACTTTCCCGCGAATTGGAATGCAGTCGTCAACAGTAACAGTGATGTTGTTTCCACAGTTATTCCATATCGTTGATGTCAACAAAGGCAAGGCAATGGGACCCAATACGTGGATATGCGCATGCTGCATGTACATTGAGGCAGAATTGTAGGTACGCGTGGGGAGCAGTCGGTGGTCGACACCCGACATTGCCGTCTGCGATGCGGGGTCAGAAGGCAAAGACCTAGTATTGGTGGTTGCAGGGTGTGTAGACGTAAGTATACATGCGTGCTGAAAGGTAGCACCACGCTATGACAGCTGGTACCGTGGTTCGCATAATGCGAACCCAGCCACAAGGCAGGCGCAGCAAAACTCAAGCAACTTCAACATGACTAAATGAACTACGACGCTGGACTGCAACACGATCAATGCGCGAGTTCTCTCGGCCCGCGATGCATGCAGAGATTTTCCTACCAGATCAGCCCATGTTTCCCAGCCACCCCGGCGTATCCCGGGATGGCTGGCTGAGCACGTTCTCCTCGGTGTATTCGGATAGCGATGGAAGAGCTCGAGCATCCTGTGTGTGGACCACCGTTGACGCGTATCTAGCTTTTAGCAACGCTTTGGCGTATATAGCCCGGGCCTAGGCGTCATAGCCCGTTACATTCGGTGAGTAGTCCGTTCGCATAGCCACGGATTAGAGGTTCGGCCAAAACCAGCTCGGCTCGAAGTGTTTTTGCTTTGCTCGGATACGACAACACGACCCGGTAGTCCTGAATTTGATTACCTATCGAAACACACTAGACGATTCGTAGGCTAGAAGGGAAGGCGTAGGTGGTAGAATATCGCGCGATGCTCTCGGTCCTGTGTAGAGACCCTCGGATGGGAGCTCTAGAATGCCGTCATATTACCGACGCACTGAGGTATATTGACCATGCCTTTAAGCGACTGTGGTGATTTATCCAGCCGCCCACTACCAAGGACGCGGGTAACGCACTTTGCTTTCCCTAGCGAGCCGGTGTAGTATCGAGAAGATATCGAAGGTGGCGTGTTTCCAGTAGATAGCGCAATAGCGCTTGCACGCGTTATCTGTTCGCCTGTTGCCCGGCGAAAGTACGTCTTTGGATAAAGATGAGTCGATGTATGGAGCGTCGATACCGGTACAGCCGCGTTCTGCAGTAGTATACCGGGTCGCTATGTGTCCATACAGCTGGGTCCGACGGTCAGTACAGCAAGGACGTCGCGCTCTAGTGTCGGCGCGAAAGTTGGATGCGAGACTTCTAACAACAACGTTACTACGCGCTACAAGTTTGCAAATAAATTCTAAGAAAAAAGAGAAGTATACTCTACGCATCTGCGAAGAAAACTGCCTTTCTAGATTTTAATTTAGATGCTTTGCTGTAGCGTAGTTGGGTCTACCCTCCATCAGCTTATTTCCAACTTTCGCGTCGACACTAGAGGTCGCGGTAGGCTGAATGCACCCATGGAAATCCATCGCCGCCTATGCATAGTTGCGCTGAGACCCTTCTTAGAACGTATGTTCCTCAATTCGAGTCATTCCAAGGTTCTTGATGATCGTATGTAATCCGCTTCATAGCGTGGGGCATGCTGCAGTGTACCCTGAATTGTGGCAAGACATACAATTGACGCATGTAGGTATGTCGTGCGGATCATGCACCGCCCTAGCCACAAGCGACTCTGCTGCGAGATGGCAGCCTGCTTTGGCTGCCGTTGAGATGCTGCATGGAGGCGGAAGTCGACATGTGTGCCCACCGGCGACTTTCTGACTCAAGTGACGACTCCAAAACGTCTGCGTCGCTGCCGGCACTTTAGAAGTACATACATACGCTGAGCGTGCGGCGCAGCGGGGGGAGCACGGCCGTCTACTTCACCCTAGCTCGCCAGCAAGCTTTTAGATTGCTTCAACCTTCCATTGAAGATCCGAGGTACAAGAATAGAAGAGCGGTGAGGGTTTCGCTTCTAGAGGATGTTTGTTGCCGGCAAAACGGGTAGTCGTCTCAACCGAACAATGAACCCCTCACTTCGATTGTTCATTGTTGAACTTTGTTGAGCATCGAAGAGCATCTGGAGTGCAATCGAAAAGACGCTAGAGAACGTCGGAACAAGCGAGTCGTCCACAGAGCGTGACAAGGGGTGGGGCGAAAACCCATGAAGCAAGACCGGTGAGCGTGTCGACCCGCCAATCAAAATCAGAGGTCGCACCCCACGAGCTGCAAGGAGCGGTCGTGGCTTACTTGCTCCGTCGATACCCCGATAACGGCTCTGCTGTCTCCTGACGTGGCCGGTGGTGATTGGTAGCCGAACGCCTATCTGAACGCTTGAACGAGGATGTGGTGCTGATCAATATGGAAGCAAGGGCTCCAGAATGACCGTCGCGGGAGAATTCAATATCTCGCTCTGAACCCACGACGGTCGCTTCGCGCTCGTGTGCTATCAAGCGAAGACATGAAATTGTCAGTGGAACCGCACGTGAAGGCCTTATTCCAGCAGTTCGATCGAGCCGTGATCGTGGACGACTGAGGGGCACGAGCTTGGCTCAGGCCATGCAGGGATACCCTATATCACATGCATATGCAAGTGCGGCTTGCTGCATACGCGGCGTTATCCAATCGAAGGCTAGATTGTCCCAAGCGCGGCCGCATCGCGGGATTGCCTCACGCTGCAGGAACGTTCGTACATGTGTTCGAGATGGTCTTTGCCTTGGACGTGGAGAATGATTTGTTTTCTCTAGAGCGGTCTTCTCAGTCAAGCAAATGATAAGCTTGGTAATTGTACTAAGCAGGCTCAGGGCGACGCCCTCCTCCGGGGATACAGACAGCTGTGGTCCGAGTACAGATTGCGCTTTATTGCCAGTTGGACAGGAATGTACACAGACCCCACTGCGTGGCCACTACACGAGAACACGATGCTCGAGGGAGCTAAGGCTGATGCAACAAGAGTCGCCCTTTTGATGAACCCTGTCAAAGGGTCGAGAATAGAACGCTGGTCTTGTGCTGAGAGGTTGAAACCTCTGGGCGCTCGACCGGATCGGTCAAGGACGGGTATTTGCTCTGACACACTGATGTTGCCAGTCCCGACTGCCGCTGTGGTGGTGGTCAGCAAGTAAGAGGTAGAGACAGGCGCGGGCCTTTCTCCACGATCCGCTCCCACATCGCGCCGGCTGCACTGCACGTTTATTTACACCTGTGCATATCTGCTAGCCACGGTAGTCCACGCGACGAGGGTGTGACTGCGCCTTGGTGAGGAGATGGTGCGCACAGCTCCTTGAACGTAGACTTACACACGGTAATACGGTGCGGGTCGCTTGAGCTTCTGGTCCTACCTTTCGCCTCTGGTGTGATTCACATACTAGCAACTGTACTACCGCACTGTAATAGAGTTCCTGGCATGGCCATTCCAATCTTGGCGAGGATCAACTGACGATGCGATATGCTCCGACAGCCCTCATCTGATGCCGTCAGTAGTGGTACAGGTGTGCGGGAATGTTGTTCCCGACCAGACTTGAGACCACATGTTGCAAGATAACATGGGAGGATTGGCCGTCAGAGCATCAGTGTGCGCTCCGCGGCTAGCAGGGGGGATCAGATGGATGCGAACAGTTGGTTTGGCGCCTGAGGCGATAACATGGGCAGGACAGGTGCCAACTGTCAAGTGGCTGGCCTGCTTTGAGTCCCAGAGTCGAGGCTGTCACCGTTCGCATGGTTGTGGCAGGGATGGAGGCGGATTCTCCCGTGCGCTGTGCTGCGAATCCCGTGACGCAGTGACATGGCAGGGCGTTTCTCGCTTTGAGGATTGCGGCGAGGGAGGCGTGCGGCCGTATTGCTGTTTCAGCTGGCCGAAAGGAATGCCCTTGTGATACTGCACTAGGTCACTGCCAGGGTACTGGGTCAAGAGATTCCGACAGCGAGACACGGTGATG